CTGTTGGTGTAGATTCTTAGGTCGTGTGTTACTGTTGGTGTAGATTCTTAGGTCATGTGTTACTGTTGGTGTAGATTCTTAGGTCATGTGTTACTGTTGGTGTAGATTCTTAGGCCGTGTGTTACTGTTGGTGTAGATTCTTAGGTCGTGTGTTACTGTTGGTGTACATTCTGAAGTTGTGTGTTGCTGTTGTTATTGATTCTTAAGTTGCGTGTTGCTGTTGAAGATTCTTCTTAGGTCGTGTGTTTTTGTTGATCATTCCTAGGTTATGTGTTGTTGGTGGTGTACATTCATAGGCCATGCTGTACGGCCGTTTTCACTCTCACCAACAAACAACCCGAGTGACCCCAGACGTTGTCCTCAAAACAACAAACAACAAGACCCCACGCGAAGAAAACCATGCGATCTAGGGCTTCGTCTTCCCAACAACAAACAGCTCGATGTGTCAGCCCTTCTTCGATTCACAACAACTGTGCCCTGTGCTGGTAGATAACGACACCTGTGTGTGACGTGGACTTTGACCGACTTTCCTCAGGCTTACCATCGATACATGGAAATCAACACACCATCTGCAGTGCTATGACTAGTTGTCTACTGACGCATACAAGCTGGTATAGACTGCTGTGTCAGCAAAAGTGTCAACACATTTCTGAATTAACGATTTCAACGACATTTGTGTCGCGCATAATGGAAGTATGTAGATTAGTCAAGCTTGAAATGGTGGTCAAATTCACTCCGCTAATATCATTGGTTCTTGAGAAACTGACCCATGCTTGAAGCTTTCATCCTAGTCGTGAACCTTCTCGAACTGCGTCACTTAAGGTTTACCTCCTACATCAATAAATAACTGGAATATTGTTCAATCCGAACTTCGGATATATATATCTAAACACTTCTTTTTCTGTTTTCCTTGATTTACTGTACAAGCTTTTGTAAGCACCATGGAGAGGAGTCCTAAGTTGGATAACCTGTTCCCAATCCATTTCAATCTGAACAAGATTGTCTCTGATGAGAACTATAACCTTACGGTTGAACCTCGTATTAGAACCGAGTAGAATCTTTCACCAGAAGTGAGTGATTGAGTGAGTGAGTTGGGTTGAGCGCCGCTGTATCACGACGTGTCAGCCTAATGTTGTAGGAAAGTCCGAAGTGATACTGGTTTCAGATGTTTCTACTCGGGGTTCTAGTGTTGAATTCTACTTGGTGGTTCTACTCCGGGATTTTACTCGGTTCCACTCGGGGATTCTACTCAGGGTTTCTACTCGGGGTTTCTACTCGGGGTTTCTATTCGGGGTTTCTACTCGGGGTTTCTACTGAGAGGTTCTACTCGGAGGATCTACTTGGTGGTTCTCCTCGGGGATTCTACTCGGGGTTTCTACTCGGGGGTTCTACTCGAATTTTCTAATAGGGGTTTCTACTCGGGGGTTCTACTCGGCGTTTCAAGTCGGGGGTTCTACTCGGGGGTTCTACTCGGAGGTTCTACTCGGGGGTTCTAGTGTGGAATTATACTTGGTGGTTCTACTCTGGGATTTAACTCGGTTCCCCTCGGGGATTCTACTCGGGGGTTCTACTCGGCGTTTCTACTCGGGGGTTCTACTCGGAGGTTCTACTCGGGGGTTCTACTCGGAGGTTTTACTCGGGGGTTCTAGTGTGGAATTATACTTGGTGGTTCTACACTGGAATTTTACTCGGTTCCACTCGGGGATTCTACTCGGGGGTTCTAATGTGGGGTTCTACTCGGGGGTTCTTGTCTGGGATTCTATATGGGGTTTCTAGTTTGAGACTCTGTTCGGGATTCTAGTTTGATATTCTACACGGCAATTCTGTTGGTAATCTAGACGGTGTTCTAGTCTGGAGTTAGCACGTGTGGCGTCTAAGGCACCGCAATTCGCTATGCAGAGGTGCGTCCCATGGGCACGCTAGAAATCTATGATCGTCGGTTCGACTCCAAGTTAGCAACGATAATGTTTCTACGTTTGTCAGCACCATGCAGTGTAGAAGCCCTAGATACGATCCGAACCAGTGCCACCGAGTAGAACGCCCGAGTAGAACATATGTTACATGTTATGATGACACGAACGAGGGCTTTAACGTTATTGTCTTGAGGGGCGGTCGGGTAGCCTTGTGGTTAAAGCGTTAGCTCGTCACGCGGAAGACCCGGGTTCGATTCCCGACATGGGTACAATGTGTGAAGCCCATTTCTGGTGTCCCCCGCCCTGATATTGCTGGAATATTGCTCATTCACTCACTCACTCACTGTTATTGTCTTAAATACAATGCTTAACACATCGGCAACACAATACATCGTTTCAGTCGACACAAACAAACGAGTAACATTTTTGTGTCTTATATCGGCAGTCTATTTGTTTCGAACAAAGTACGCGATATATTTTCCCTGGAAGGATCCGATGAAATCCTGTTAACGTGTTTCAATGTGAAGTATACAGATCACTTTCCTTAAAAAATATATAAAATATTGTAAGGAGAGATTTATACATCGATAACAGTACGTGTGGCCTTTTGGCTGAATCGTTACATGTTAAAACGGTCTGCATTGAAGGAATCCCGGTCTGTGTGAGATGATATTGCCACTCTGCAGGCCAGCCAGATAGCTGCCCCAGAATAGCTGGCTGGATGGAGCAGATACAGTGGCTGCTGTCTGGCACGACGCCATGGGCCTCATACAAACGTGGTGCTGCTGTGACAGAAATAATCCCTAAAAAGTGACCTTGAAACAAATGCAAGATTGTTATTTACACACACATGACCACAGAAATATGTTGAGTATATTAACTCCGAAATAAGGAAGCGATAAGCTGCCTATTTCAAATAAATGAAATGTTTTCCCAGAATAGAATAATAATTGAAATTTAAAATGCAACAAGCGATTCTTTTCTGTTTTCTCTTCTCGTAACTTAAGTTTTACAACTACATTTATATGTACACTGGAGAAAATGTATGGTTTGAATTTATAATACCACGTCGCTCCATGTCTGAGATGGATTGGACATAACTATTTTCTGAAGATCTGTACCATGTCAACGCCGGATATTTTTGTTTGTTGGTTGGTTGTTCAACGACTCACTTTGCAATATTCCACATTTAGCCAATGGCCTGGAAATGACCGAGTCAATAACTAGACAAACTATTGTGGTTGATATCATGAACAAGGTGCCACGCCCTCAGGGTATGATTGACAAACAATCACCGGGCCTGACAACCCGATCCAATCAGTCCCCTCTACTCGGGGTTCTAGTGTGCATTCTACTCGGGGTTCTAGTGTGGATTCTACTCGGGGTTCTAGTGTGGGATTCTACTGTGGATTCTACTCGGGGTTCTAGTGTGGGATTCTACTGGGGGTTCTGGTGTGGGATTCTACTCGGGGGTTCTAGTGTGGGATTCTTCTTTGGGGTTCTAGTGTGCGATTCTACTTGGGGGTTCTAGTGTGGGATTCTACTCAAGTTCTAGTGTGGAATTCTACTCGGGGGTTCTAATGTGGAATTCTACTCGGGGTTCAATCGGGGATACTACTCGGGGGTTCGAGTGTGGGATTCTACTCGGGGATTCTAGTGTGGGATTCTACTCGGGGGTTCTAATGTGGGATTCTACTCGGGGTTCTAGTGTGGGTTTCTAGTGTGGGATTCTACTCGGGGGTTCTAGTGTGGGATTCTACTCGGGAGTTCTAGTGTGGGATTCTAGTCGGGGGTTCTACTGTGGGATTCTAGTCGGGGGTTCTAGTGTTGGATTCTACTCGGAGTTCTAGTGTGGGATTCTAGTCGGGGGTTCTAGTGCAGGATTCTAGTGTAGGGTTCTACTCGGGGCTAGTGTAGGATTCTAGTGTGGGATTCTATTCTGGGAGTCTACCCGGGGGTTCTAGTGTGGGGATCTACTCGGAGGTTCTAGTGGGAGATTCTACTCAGGGTTCTAGTTTGGGATTCTAGTGTGGGGTTCTAGTGCAGGATTCTAATGTGGGGTTCTACTCGGGGCTAGTGTAGGATCTTAGTGTGGGATTCTATTCTAGGAGTCTACTTGGGGGTTCTAGTGTGGGATTCTACTCAGGGGTTCTAGTCTGGGGTTCTAGTGTGGGATTCTACTCGGGGATTCTAGTCTAGAATTCTACTCGTGGTTCTAGTGTGGGATTCTACTCGGGGTTCTAGTGTGGGATTCTACTCGGGGGTTCTAGTGTGGAAATCTACTCGGGGTTCAATCGGGGATACTACTCGGGGGTTCTAGTGTGGTATTCTACTCGGGCGCTCTAATGTGGGATTCTACTCGGGATTCTAGTGTGGGGTTCTACTCGGGGGTTCGATGTGTGGGATTCTACTCGGGGTTCTAGTGTGGGTTTCTAGTGTGGGATTCTACTCGGGGGTTCGAGTGTGGGATTCTAGTCGGGGGTTCTAGTGTTGAATTCTACTCAGGGTTCAATCGGGGATACTACTCGGGGGTTCTAGTGTGGTATTCTACTCGGGGGTTATAATGTGGGATTCTACTCGGGATTCTAGTGTGGGGTTCTACTCGGGGGTTCTAGTGTGGGATTCTACTCGGGGGTTCTAGTGTGGGATTCTAGTCGTGGGTTCTAGTGTTAAATTCTACTCGGGGTTCAATCGGGGATACTACTCGGGGGTTATAATGTGGGATTCTACTCGGGATTCTTGTGTGGGGTTCTACTCGGGGGTTCTTTTGTGTGATTCTACTCGGGGTTTCTCGTGTGGGATTCTAGGCGGGGGTTCTAGTGTGGGATTCTACTTCGGAGTTCTAGTGTAGGATTCTACTCGGGGTTCTAGTGTGGGATTCTAGTCGGGGGTTCTAGTGTGGAATTCTACTCGGGGGTTCTAGTGTGGGATTCTACTCGGGGGTTCTAGTGTGGAATTCTACTCAGGGGTTCTAGTGTAGGATTCTATTCTGGGAGTCTACTTAGGGGGTTCTAATGTAGGATTCTACGCGGCGGTTCTAGTCTGGGATACTACTCGGGGGCACCCTTCAAGATAAAAACAGGAATAGATCATCAACCATTTATTTCTCAGTAACAAATACGAGAATGGAAACAGCAACATTCATATATGATGACAATACTTACGTTGCCATTCAATAAAAAATACCAAGGTCTATCAGCACTGTACGTGCCACGTGACAGAGGAGAAAAGAATTCCAAGTCTCACGTTCGGCTCTTTCCGTTAAGCCCGGAAAAAAGACAGAATGTTGGCAGAATGTTGGCAGAATGAGAATGTCCCCGAGCTGCACCGGAAGTCAGTGAATAACTGTGACGTCATAGCACTATCATCCTCTCCGAAAAAGATGTGGTCGGTAGTTCGGAATCCTGCCGAGCAGAGGAAACTTAAACGAGTTAAAGGGGTTCTGGGAAAACGGAAATTTGTATTAATGAATTGCATAGACTTAAATAACACAATACTGGTAGATATATAACACAAATTGACTTCCAGAAGACATCTACATCATGAAAAGATCATGTGTGCATGTTACAATGCTGAACAGCCTTTAGAAACAGTGCATTGTGTATATGTAACATATGACACACATTAACATCACCATACAATACAAAATGGACACAGCCCTCTGGGATGTAGCCTTGCTCCAAGGCTAACTGAAAGATAAGTCCATGTGTGGTAATTCTATCCTAATAATCCCCAGTCTCTTATAGGGACAATGTGTTATTATTATTTACATAATCTAGACATTATGAGTTAAACTAAGTATTGCCTTAGAGACTTGCCCAAGTCTATCTGGGATGCAGTATATACAAACGTGTGCCGGTACAGGTATTTGCCTCTGTTTACACCTGAGCGGTTGGGGTGCCCTTGGAGATCGCTAGTACACAAGTGTAGGGAGCATCGTATTTCACCAACCCCCAGGATTACAGACCTTTACAATAAGATCTTGCGTCAGATTGAAGCCCTTGCCAGCTTTCGGGGATCGTTGCAAACTCTTTCGGCTTGTTACAAAACAAAGCACATACATGGAGCATTGCGTGTGTGACGTCGGCCGTGTAGTTACTGAAGGTTGAAGGCAGTCACGGTGCAGTGATTACCCAGACATTATGCTGCTCTAAGTTAACTTAGACTAACATCTCGTCTTTGAAATATTTTACAGATAAAAACAGTTGTTAAATTACAATTGTGAAATATAATAAAAAGGAGCCAAGATACTCTCTTATATAGACTTGCCAAATAGTCTAAACTGTATTAAACATATTTGTTTCAGAGTCTGTATACGTACCAACAAACCAATCAATCTACAACTTCTTTTGCAGATGCGACTTATCCGCGGAGTCAATTTCGAGCAGACGAGTCAAAGACGTAGATGTTGGTGGGTTGTTAGATAAAAACGATATCCGTTGGGGGTCATGTGCCGATAGATATGCAAATATTAAAAGTCAAGTAGGGACAACTTTCAGTGTTAACAAACAAACATGGCGTCGCCCTTGTCATTCGGGTTTCTGTCTACTAAACCTGTTAATCGCGCAAAGCTTGCGTCGCGTACCAACAGCGGAACCAGTTTAATAGACTAGGGTTACAGTAGCTTCCCTTTGATAAAGGGCAGTTACTCTAGCGAACAGACAACTGGATTGCCGCGAAAGGCAAGTAGAAACAATTAATGTTGCCAATTGTTGTTATGCCTGAATGTAGTTACGCCACTGTATATAAGAAACAGGTTTCAGTTGGAACTATATTGACTGTTGTCACTGTCCGACTGACACATCACTTACCTTCTGACGTAATATAGCAAATTCCTGGACAATTTGTAATGTTTAGGCAGTGTTTAATTTTGTTTGTGGGAGGTGGGAATGGATTTTTCGAGCACAGATTTGAAGAATGACATTATATGATAAAGCGGTTGTTGATCACGCGTGTGTGTTTGGAGATGGTAAATATCCTGTCCTTGGAATAAACACTATGTATTCAGGTCGATAAGGCTCGATAAAAGCAAAGTTTATTCCTAATACAGAATATTTACCCAAGCACACTCGCGCGATAACCTCTATGGAGGTAACTGCATCGTAATTGAAAACCATGAGTCTAAGGCAGAAGATCAATAAATCGACATGGTATTGAACTGACCTCATCTCTCCTCTCCATTTACCTACGGTAGAGATGCTACTCATACGAGTCAGGGTAGAGATAGAACAATTAGAGTTGTTACTTATCGGAAAAAAACCGAAAGGTTTAATTGTCGGATTGAAAACATGCAGATCTGTTACCGGGTTGTGTTCAAGTTCAAGATTATCGGTTGAACCAACCAATTGCCTAGTTACATTACTATCTGTATAACTGTTTGAATGGTTTGTTTGTTTGTTGTTAAACGCCGCACTCGGCAATATTCCACCATTTTGACGGCGGTCTATTAATAATCGAGTCTGGACAAGACAATCCAGTGATTGATATCATGGGCATAGATCCACGCAATTGGAATAGCGAGCCATCCACCCGATTCTGTCAGTCGCCTTTTACGACAAGCATAGTCGCCTTTTACGGCAAGCATGTGTTGCTGAAGACCTATTCTACCCCGGATCTTAATGGGTCTGTTGATGACGAATATGAGACTGGCGAACAAACCTGTTTTCTTGAAAAGATTCTGTGATTTAAATACACTGACAGAAGTCGATCAACTCGGTTAATTATAATCTAACAATATTCGCTGTGTGCTCTTTATCTGATGATATCTCGTGTAATATTCTGAGCAGGTAACAGACTCCACACTATCTGAAGAACATTCATCACCAGTCGACGACATTTAGTGATTCTCGCACGTCCTCCCATTTCAGTGCGGACATTTGTTATTTTATTTCAGCTCCGTCCTTGACATGACTTCAATCTTTGTGTAAATAGTTACAAGATTTTGTCCACAGACAGCTTTCACAGGGACGCTATTTATCAAGTCGTGTGTTGCGACGAAGTATGCAGATAAGGGCTGGAAATGAATTAGTCGAGATCTGAAAGGTTGAAGGGTGCTGTGGTTTAAGCCGTAATATCCTGAGAAATTGAAGAGTATATCGTATATTATAACAGAACTATGTGTACCCTTTAATGTGGCATTCAATACAATGTCAAGAATGGATCGTAAGAAACTAACACAAGAGCTGGTGATTGCAGTGTGTTGCCTGTCTGCCAAGCTAAAAATGTCAAGTTTCACTATGTGACAGCGTTATGGTTACGTTGTCACAATGTTGTGATATTGCGTCCATGCAACATTATTTTGTGGACTTCCGTTTATTTTGTCACAACGCTGTGGGGTAACGCTGTGATACGTCATTTTTACGTCGTTACGTCGTGATAACGTATTTTACGCTGTGGTAACGTAGTTACGTTGAGGGAACGTTGCTTTGTACGTTGTCGCAATGTTTCATGTAACGTTATTCTAAATAAACTGTCCCAGAAAATGCTTGAAAATATAATTATGCTTCAGACTGTTAAAAAATGTAATTGTGCCACAAGGAATACGTTGTTTTATGGAGCCTTTTAAAAGGTTGATATTTAGGTTCATATTCAAATTTTAAAAAATATCTGATTTTGCAGATGGAGCTGAAAAAGTATCTACTCTCCATTCAAAATCCCCCTCCAGATTATCACCTGGTCGGCCCCTAATAACAGGTAGTCATGAAGCTGAACCATGCTGAGTGTGGCATAAAACAACTAGTGCTCGAATTCTTTGGCAGTTTAACGTTAATTAATGTTTCATGAATATAAGTAATATGACTACAGCCCATGGTTGTTCGGGAAGCCCAGTCGTCCAAGGCGGGGCAATTCGCTGTGGCGTCCTTAAGACGTGCCCAAAACCTATCTATGATCGTGGGTTCGAATCCTACAGTCGTCCTCATTCTGTTTCTAGGTTTGTCAGCACCATTCCCATGCTCGTCGGTATCACAAAAGTGGTAAACATCTGAGACCTGCATCACTTGAGGCTTTCCTCCTGCATTAAGCTGACTAGCTGATGTAACTGCAATACTGCACGCACGCATGCACACACTCACCCAACCACCCATCGAACAAGGATACAGTTTATGTGATGTGCTGTGGCGCCCGGGTGGTGTATATTCCGCATATCTCATGCTTCTCTTGATGTGGGGCGTGGTTAATATCTCATGCATAACGTGACGACAATGTCGGAGTATCTGGCCTTCCAAAACGGCGGTTTGATTGGTAGTTAGTAGAGGCTTCTTCTGACACGACATCTTCTTTACAACCATCCCCGCGCAGGGAGGGGCAGAGGTCAAGTCGTGACGAGAATACACTTGCGGAGACACCCATTATACTTCAATCACTCCTAATTGCGAACAAATTAACAATCGTTGATAAAACTAGCAAAGTCTCGGACTTTTGCTCATATTTAAATCAATTCAGTTTCAAGATTCTCTTGTGAGATTTTGCTTTCTCAGAAAATTTTAAGGCATCGTAATAGAAATTCCATCTACGGTCCACACATACCAACTGCATCTGTTACTACACAACCACTGTAACTACACCTACGACAACTGCTGGTGCTACTACCACCACCACAAACACTACTTCCAGTGCTGCAAATGGTACTACTAATGTGGTAGAACTCAACTGCCCATTAAAACAGAGTAATGGTTTGGGTAAGACATTAACGTTTTCCTTAACGTTTTCTGCTTTTTTCTGTCTTTCGTGGGTTCGCATCTCCGATTCTCCCCGATCGTGATCCTTGCTCTACCAGCACATACCCTTCACCATAATAACAGACATCTACGGCAGTACAGCCAACAAACTCAGCCCCACCTTCTATAGTCTCATAGTCAGTCCCATTGGACGCGAGACTGAAATAGCATCTTATATAGGAGCACGGACCTATATAGTATACTAGTCCGTGAGAGGAGCATCAGTGTTGTTATATAAGACAACGACCACCTTCACCTCATTTCTCTGACCCAGTGACACAGCTTATAACAATCCATTTGTGACATCACTTCCGGCACGGTAAAGAGCAGACGGCGCGCGATGAATGTAGACAACGAGTTTGAGTTGGGGCATGGGACGATGTATTTGTCACAGTCAATGTCTAAAATGTACATATTGCTTGAAAAATGTTACTGGATTTTAGACAGATTGACTGAATGAATTAGACTTCTTAATTTAATCATTTCCATTTTGATCTCACGATGATCAATGTAACTTATGCAAGTTGGTTGGTTGGTTTGTTGTTTAACGCCGCGCTCAGCTATAAGACGGCGGTCTGTAAATAATCAAGTCTGGACCAGACAATCCAGTGATTAATATCATGAGCGTCGATCCACGCAGTTTGGATGTTTTCGTGGTCTCCTCAATTAGTTCTAAATTGTCTCTGTCAGTGACTGTCCTTTTTGCCTCAATATAGAATTTAGAAACTTGGCATCCAAGGAGCAAATATTTTATTCATCTGTAGATGTTCATGAGTAATAGTTTCAATGAATCCATGGCTTAGACCTGCGTCTTCCTCAAGTTCAGCAATGGTAATATGTCTATCTGGGTGTATCAGTGTTTCTATCTTCTTGATTGAAACATCATTGATGGAAGTTAAGGGACGCCCAGACCTAGGGTCATCTTCAAGGCTTGTTCTCCCAGCCTTAAACATAGCTGCCTAACGTGTAACAGTGGAATAGCTAGGACACCTATCCCCATACACTTGTGACATGCGGTCATGAATTTCTTGGGGAGTATTTTTCTCTAAATTAAAAAAACCTTGCTGCTTGCTCGGTACTCGTTCTTTTCCATTTGTGTGTCCATTTGGGCCCTTGTAACGTTCAACTGGCTGTCACTAATACACACACACGGCCTAAACAGATTAAAAAGGCCCATAGTTGAACGTTAGTCAGGCTTAGAACTTTTTGACCAGCCCTCGTAATCAGTGACGTGTTGACATTTGGTAACATAAGATTGTTTCCAATATATCACGTACACTGCATACTTGGATAAGTTACTAAGTAAAATCAAAATAGAGCAAAATTAAAATGAGATTTTCATTTCAGCCAATCTGTCTAAAATCCAGTCTCATTTATCAGGTAATATGTCTGTTGTCTGAAAATTTCAATATACATTTTGCCTAATCATAGGCATTGACACATATGATTTTATCATGTTTCATTTTCATATGAACGTATCTGAAGTGAGCGATTATATAACCAATCAGTGAAATGTAAATAAGAATAATTCTACATGGTCTTACTTTAAAAAACATATAATTTGATTAAACACGTTTAATACACAACTGCTCATGGGTATTTAATATTTGAAATTAATTAATTTGCTTTTGGGGGGCACAAAATTTACATTTCAAACATGGTATGGGTCATGTGGTTGCCAAATCTATTTTTTACCCCTGTCTTCATTGAACCAATATATTTTTACACAAAGCCACAAAAGCCACTAAGCCATAGATTACCTTTTACAAACTGTTGCAGGAATGAGTAATGGTTAAATAGAC